GGTGAAATTACCGAACCGATTAAGTTCGATTACTCGAACGTTCAATTTGGTTCCATTTGTGTTGTTGAGTACAGATAATAATTGCTGTGCTCACAACAACAACAATTTATTGGTATTCCCATATAGATGGTGTTACCTAAATACCGAATCGCTAAATAAAAATTCAAAAACGAAACAAATTACAACAGCAGCAAGAAAGAAAACTAAACATAGTTAGTTACAAAATTCTTCATTTTAAGTTCTAGGGTTACAAAGTTCTCTTATTTGTAGTGCTTCATATGTAAAGTAACCTAGTTTTTTCAAATAAAAGTGTCAGCCATACTATAACTTTAATTTGCTTTTAGCCGCCCGGTGTTCCGACTAGACGTGCTAATTAATAATTTCCACACAAGAGCTAGCCTGCGAACGGGCTCCCGGCGAAGAAGGAAAAAATTCGGCGAACAAAGCGAGCCGACGAGCACGAAACTGAAGAATTCGGACGAGCCTGTTCGCAGGCTACACAAGCGCGCCGTTACAATTACACATGAACAGACCATTACTTGTAGGCAGTTATATGCAGGTCACGTGGTGGGCTCTCGGCCAATGAAAAGGGAAAAAATACATCGAATTATATTTATAGCTATATCGTAACTGATATCACATCGATCGGTCTGAAAGCAACATTTCCATAAAGGGTGACATCAACTGCTTCCTTTAGTTGAAAATGTAACCCTTCTTGAATGGGTAAAGTGACTTAAAAGTTTTTAGCGCCTCCTACGAAAAGACTTTGGGCAAATGAAACTAATTGTGTTCAAAACTTATTTGTCTTATTTGGCTGAACATTTCGGGAGATGAAGCGTCAGGGATTTATTAACTTGCTGTAAGGAGTCACTGAGAGGAGCTCAGTTGATCAATTTCCTCATTTATGTCTTTTTGCTCCTTGTCATGATTACAGTCTTTCCGCAACTTATGTCATTGGTCAGTCAAACTAATCATAAAAGTTGGAATTCTTTTAACTAATATAGACGGTCAAAATGACCTCTCAGTTAAGGTTACTTTAACTGTTTCATTTAGTTGAAATTTTCGCCTTTTTAGAATGGTCAAAACGACTATTAAAATTAGTTACGACTATTTTAAATAGTTATTTTAACTAGTCAGTTTTTAAAGTAAAAGATGGCTGAAACCAAAAATTAAACTGATACACAAAGAAACAATCAAATTAGAACAAATCAAAACAAAAGCCACAACAGAAAACGATAATCAAAATTTATTCCATTCCGTTCACCATGGAGACAAATCTCAACGCCAGTTTTCTATAAAGATTGCTGTAGCAACTTCAATTTCTGTTAATCTTCAGCTCTACAAAATACGTTACCTGATGAACAATTCTGGATGTAAAAGTCCCGCAAGCAATGGTTTGAATAATTGCAGTGCTGGGCCTCTGATACTAACTGAGGGCCATTGGGACAGACTGTAAGGCTTCCTCGTAGTTGATTTGCGATCTGCCTTAAGCCTAAATTAATAATTGAATAAAAAATGGAGCACTATTAATTACATTACATGTATACATTTTTGGATTTTTCAGCTCTAGTATAATACTGGAAATTTTACTTGAAGACAGTGTGAGTGGTCTTACTTCAATAAAGATGACTAGCTACTGTACATATCAGAAATTGTATATATAACTTTGTTCCCAGCTAGGACAACAGATATGAGCTGGGGAATGTTTCTCGAGCTCAGGACATAGTCATCTAGAGTACATGTTGAAGCTGCCCCCTAGAGGATACTTACAATGCTAGTAGAACGCTTACCTTAATGTTAGTTAGAAACACGCCTTTGAGTTACCTTTGCTAATAAAAAAAATCGTCATTTACAATATACGTGTTATTTTATGTTATTTTCTCGATTCTGGAGAATAGTCGGAAAGCAATTACGCGTTTTATGAATTTATGATACACAGAAATGTACAATAGCATGATGATTGGAGACAAAAGAAAATTATCATGAAGACAATAAACAACATGAGTGAAAATAAGGGCAAGATTTTCCTGAGTTGGGGCTAAAAATTAGCACTGTAAAAACGTTTCCATGAATTTGAAACTGAAGGATGACGTTGAATTAATATTAATAGACATCATTGTGGGCCAAATTAAAAAAAAAAGTATCATCGGGTGTTGGTCAATTCCCGCCCAATTAATAATTGTAAGGTCAATTTTTGATACTTCCATTCCAGCGGTTATTCAAACCAGTCCTGAAAATCAAACGGAGCGATTTCTTTGGGATATTATCACCCGAGGTAAATAGATGTTACAAGATCCATTTACGATAAGAAAGTATTCAGTCAATTCTTGTGGCCAAAATTTGCAATAACATATCAAAACAGCTTTGTTTTTGCTCTGTTTCGACACCTTGAAACTTAACCCGCAGTCTTCTCAAAAACGCTCTGACCTTGATTTTATTTTCAATTTTGCCACCGTTTAAACAACTATGTCAAGTCATAGATCTGGAAGTCGTATATTAAAATTATCCCCAAAATTATCCCCAATAATAGGTTACCCGGTCTCAAGTAAAATGGGATATGACGTCATAACGTTGCCATGCTATCTTAGATCCTGGTAAAACGTATGTCACTGAAAACTCTCATATTTCCTTGATGGTGCTCTAGTCGCTCAAAGTTGAACAGTATCTTTACTCAAAAATCCGATCGAGCCACCTTTAAGTGCCTTCGCTATTTTTTATTTTTATTATTATTATTATTATTATTATTATTATTATTATTATTATTATTATTATTTACTTGAGGAGGCTGGCAACAGTTTCCAGCACTTTTCTAACAGCTATACTTTGAACGATACACACTACCACTGTCTAACCAGGGATGCTACAATAATGGTATCATACAAATATCCAATCATTGGTAAACAAGTTGCCGTCAACCCTTTTATATGACAGGTTACCACAGGACAATACGATCTGCTAAAACCACACTTAATTTAGCTTTAAGCGCTCATAACTCAAAAATGAGCTTGGTGACCCCCTATTTTATCATCAAATTACCATAAGCATGATAAGATGCAACTTTTTGCAAAGTTAAACAAAAAAAATTCTGTAGAGTGTGTTCAGGGCCACCTTAAATGTTCGTAAATTTAAGGTGGCTCTAATCCCAGTCCACATTTTAAAACTTCATCTTACCATGTTTATTACAATTCGAAACTAAAAAGTGAAGGTCAGCGAGCTCGTTTTTGAGTTATAAGCGCTTAAAACTAAAATTAAGGGTGTTTTTGGCAGATCATATTGTTGCTACGGTAACCTATTTTGCCACACAATTGACAGAAACATGTTTACCAATGATTGGGCAGTTTTTTTTATGCCATGGTTTTGGCATCATCTTATATAGAGTGGTAAAATAGTGCTGAAAACTTTTTCGAGCCACCTTAAACAGCACCAAGCGATGAGGATTAAACTTTTATTTTTACTGCCGCCAGGTCACGTGGTAACCAGTCTCCTTGTTTGGCCTTGACCGTGCAGAAAACACAATAATTGTTTACTCCATACTGAGGAACTAACCAATAGAACCGTTTTGGTTACGGTATGAGCGCGAATCAAAAGATTGTGCACGGTCGTGGACTTTCCAACATAAATCTTGGCATCTTTGTTTGCTCTTTTGATGTTTGCCGGGCTTCATAACCAGTCCATTCTATTAACTATGACGTAATGTATAAAAGCCTTCAAGCGATCTTACCATTTCGAGGCTAAATTGAGGTAAGAAATTACTCCCAGTGTTTCGTCAACCATGTATTCCACTAGTTTTCTCAAAGATTTTTCTCGATGCTGATTTATTATCTGATATTTCGTTGCGTGCGTTGTCAACCGCCAAAGGCATGATAGGGCCGGAAAAAAGCCTACGGCTCTACTAGAAATGCGTACGGCAAAAATCGATGCGAGTTAATGACAAAAACAATTTTGTTGCTGCAAAATTTTGTTCTATTCAAAATGAGTGATGAAAGTGAACATTCTGAGAGCTAATTTTACTATTCAGGCGAACTTTCCGATGCAGAACTACTTCAATCGTCAGCTCACACCGACAGCACAGAGAGAAAGTTAACACTCACAAATAAAGAAGTTCATAGCGTTCTCAGAAGCCAACGACAACAGGCATCCAAGAAAATAATTTTTCCGGATGAACTGTCCAATAATTAACCTTTGGAATAAGCAGACAGTCTTGAGGCGAAACTTCATTCAGTGGAAGGCATCAAAGAATTAATCGTGGGTCAAACTGACCGGCAACGTGAAGAAAACAAAGTACGATGTAAATGCTTACTTCGAGTTTCCAGAGTTTCTAGGAGAAGTTGGTTAAACCAGAGAAATCACAAACATACCTTGTTTACAGCTGGATAAATTGCGCTGCATTTTCTACATCAGTATTATTTGAAGAGACAAAACTGAGAACGAACACACTGTACAGTTCATCCAGACAATAAACTCCCTTGAATTTCTACTGCATAGCAAAGCCAGCAAAATCAGCAAACCCAGGCACTGAGCCAAGAAAGATGTCATTAATATCCAATTGCTGGTTCTCCCTTGTTCAAGAGAATCCAAGAGGTCGACAAATAGCTACAGCCTGAGACGACGCCGACATTTTCTTGAGTCTTCATATAAAGATCTGTGAACAATTTCAGTGAAGCGTGAAGGGAATTTTTGCCACTCGCTAATACGTTTTTGATGGTTCTGACATATTTTTTGACAGCTTTATGCCACTAGCTTTCTGTTGGCTTTGTAGCATGAATTGGAATTGTGGACTTACATTGAAAAACAAAAATAAGAAAACGAGTCATGTTTCTCGATGACTTGTGAGTTTCTTGTTCGACGCGAGGAAATAACTATAATATTCTATAACTATACTTCGATTGCCGTGTTCCCAGCAAGGTTGTCCTGATGATGTAGTGGAGGGACAAATAATTCATCAAAACAATGGTTGTTTCAAATGTGATAGGAATAGATGCGACCTGCGTCGAAATTTCTTTTTTGAATCCAAATCATTTCTTAGTTTTCAGACGGGCAAAAAATACACCATTCATTCCATTTTTTGTTCTTTGTTAATTAACACCACTTTTTGCTCTTTCACGTGATTTTGTACTTTTATTAATTGTCAATTGTAATTACGTAATCACTGGCAACTTAATCTTATTTAAAGCTCGTTTTGATTCAAAAGTTGTAATAACTGAAGAAGGTGATCTCTGACTGAAACGTTTTTTGTTATATTTATTAATCTTTTTTACGTCAGAAGTTGTCCGTCCTCACAATTTTTTAACTTTCTACGTTCGTTTATGCTGCGAGGTTTGAACTGGGAATCTTTACTGATCCTCCTGACGCTGTGACACCTTTGTTGGCCTGAGAGTTCTGGTAACGATTTTATACATATATATATATTTTGTTTGTTTGTCTTTTTTTTCTGTAGTTGTTCCGCGAGCGGCCGTCTGATGTTATGTAATCGCTACTTAGGTTCAAACATAAGTTTCAAAATTTTCAACACTGAGTGGTCATATGATAAAATGCTTATTGACTGAGTAAGGTCGGGCCGGACGGGAAAATATTTGGCTCTCGGTTAGGACGTACGGACCACGCTGCGCTCGGTCCGTACGTCCAGACCTCGAGCCAAATATTTTCCCCTCTGGCCCTCCCACTCAGTCAATAAGTACGTGTTATTCAAAATAAACATATGCTTAAAATGCTCGTTTGCAGCCTGATACCTATTTTCAATTACAGCGACTGATCTTAGAGACCTAAAGACTGTTTTACTGGAGATTAGACCCTCAGGCAAATATTTCAGGATCAATTTTGAGGATAATGATCGCGGAGTGAAAGGTAAAAAACTTATGTCAGGCGATTACTAAGCTTGTTTGCCTTGTCTTCGAGACGCTCTAAATTTTTTTGTTGTTGTTTTATTTCATCCAAGCTAGATTTGCGATAAAAACAGCTTAAAGGATACTTTTAACCGGAAAAATAGTTTTGGCAGGTAAATCCATGTTCCAAATTGACTTTCTGGTCCACGAAATAGGCCTAGATTTCGACGTGACGCAACATCCTCGAAGCGTATTTTAATACCTGAATTTCATGCGGATCTGACAACGCTAAAAAACTGCTAAAAGATGTTAGTTTAGTACTGTGGGTTATTTTTTCCAGCCACACATTATTTTGGCTTGCCAGCGCTCTTAACAAGTGTCATTTTGAAGTCGAGATTTGTTCCAGTTTTGAGGCAAAATACGTAAGACCATCTCGACAAAAAAGTAAAAATCCAAACAACCTCAAAGATACAATTTAGAAATTAGTTAGTAAAAGGCTTCTTCCTGACAAAGTTTGAGAAAATCGAATTTTTTTATCCTGCATATAGGTATAGGTGACCGTTAGAGAAATCTGCTGTCAAGTATTCTCGATAAACTATATGGTGAACAACTTACAGTCAGTCCAGCCATAGAATAACAAGGCTAAGGCGATAGGTACAAAATAGTAAACATTGATGATCATGAACCATAAATACTAAAACTATGCGAATTATTGAGCTTCATAACACTTAATAATTAATTTTTGTTCGTTAAATCGCCGGGAATTACAGATTAGTCTGCCTAAACATGTTATTTTGAGACTTTGTGAGTCGGCACAGTGAAAGTTTTGAAATCCAAGATGGTGCCCAAGAACGACAATTAAAGCTCCTGCAAACTAGAGTAAAGACTTTGACATAGGAAGGTAATGAGCAAACACGAAGATATTAATTGATAAATAAAAACGGACACAAGAACGCAAGTTAATACCTGGACACTCTGAGGCGCAGCAGATAGCTCCATTGTAAACATAACAAACAGGTCTAGTCATTGATGGGCAGACACCCTGTTTCTCATAGGCTCCAGGAAAGTAAAAATCACATCCTGCATATTTCCATGTTTGGCCTTTGTAGTAAATACCGTCCTCTATGGTAAATTCGACGCCTAGTTACAAATGAAAGTCATAATTAGTTTAATTTTAACTTGGTTAACCCACAAGAAACATACATTACCAATAAAGGGAGTTACCAGGTGAGTATCTGTCCCCTCTGTGGTATGAATGCGAACGAATCAATCCGATTGTGATTATAATTGAAATTTCATACGAAAAACAGAACAAACAAAAACAACTTTGCATGCGTTAAATTATGACCAGAGTCAAATGCATTTGATGCCAGAATTACACGTACAATTTAAAGCAGATCACAAAGCAAAACTACGCCAACGAATATTTACCACTATAATATGCGAAACTGAATTTTTTGTGTAGTTATAATTTATGTCCATATGATTTAGAGTTACACTTCCTTTCAGATGTCTG